CTATAATTTCTACCATTTGGTTTGATTGGTTTCCAACCATGATTATAAATTTCAAATAAGGTCATCCAAAGAAAGATAACCCTATGAGGCAAACCCCATATTTGACACAAATGCATCCAATCCACCTTTCTTATACATTTCATATTGTTCAAAATTTTCAATTCTTCACCAATGTGGGATATCTCAAACTCAACCACAATTCAACAACATCTCAATATTCAATTCTCATGATGCCACCTCAATACTCTTGGTTCTTCCTTTAATATATATATAGATTTTGATAATAGCTACTCCAAATGATTCAGTATTTGCTAGTAAGAAAGTGAGTTTGGATTATTTGATTTATCGAGCCGTTTGATGTGAATTTTGAAATAAACCAAGTTGATGTTGATAGAAAAATTGTAGATGATATTTATACGTAATAAGAACACGAAAAAGGAGCACTGAAAACACTGTCTAATAAAGCATCAAACATGAAAGATTTATGAAAAGCGTATCTTTTGCATCAAACAAAATATAATGATGAACGAGAAATGAATCTATGAACTTTTTTGCTGTGAACAGGTCGTAGTAGCAGTCTCCAGTGGTTAACATATTGTTCCAAATTTCGAATAACCAAATATGTGTTTGATTTGTCGAAATCTGACAGATTGGAATGCCATGTTCTATTATTATGTCAGTCCGTTTGGTTTGCAAAATAAAAAGAATTCAATTTCGCCAGAGTCGACAAATTCCATCAATTGGTGGATTTCCTCATTATGTCATGTATCCCATAGAACTGTATTCCATTCATTCGTATTTTTGTTAAAAAACCAAATTACCCACATAAATCAGAGTTAATTAACCGATTAGTCGTCTCTGATTTTGGTCCTACTTCATGGGTCTATCCATCTCTGCAACTTTATACGTTTTGTTGATATATGAAATATGTAAGTTGATGGTAAGGCCCGATAAGTATGAAAAGTCATGAATAGTTCAGGCGTGGTATATATATATATATATATATATATATATATATATATATATATATATATATATATATAGTTAGAGAACAGATATTGGGCCTTGGGGCTCTTCTTTGAGTCCAAAACTGTTCTAATTTCAAGTTTTTTCTTTATTTTGGATATTACAGGCAGATCGCCAAAATCAGTTAAAATGTGTATATGCCAAGATTTACCATGACTTATTCACTGACTTCTCTCTATAGATTTTCCATATTTTCGTCCTACTTAATACTCCTATGGACAAATTAACTCAATTCGACAAACTAAAGTTTCTTGTAAAACGTAAATGGATGGTTGGATTTTCAAGATAGACGTCCATAAACTACAACATGACTGGGAGGGATATTTATCTTAATGGACACTGCAATTTGCATGCTTTTATCTGTTTAATTTCTACATCAAAGAAATTTGTAATCAATCAAGTTAGTGAATCTTTTTTATGTTTTGATCTAGAGTTGTTCATGGGCGGGACGACCCGTTAGATCCGACCTATCCAGCCCGTTAGAAATACGGGCTTAGACAACCATTACCGAGAAAATGGACGGGACCGGATTTGTTCGTTAAAATTAACAGGCGGA